TTTCTACGCAATGTTTGCGATTTATAAAATATTAACTTGACGGGAAAATGTGCGGTCCTCCACGCAAACTCTAACCCATGCCTACGCACTAAGCACAACAACGGGAGAGACGAGAAACTGCGACACCGCGTTGGCAGAAGGAAGAATGGAAAGAAATATGTGGAAATAATAGGCCTACCATAAATAAAATGTTACCTCTCATTTATCATATGAAGAATTCATTTTCACAAATTGATTAAAGCCAATCTTAAAATGATTAAACAAACGCCTGTTTGAGACTCCTCAGTGCACACAAAAACATAACTTGGAAAAATAAATAAATACGGATATTGAGATGAGATGCACAGGCTGCAGTGGAGACGCTGCGCACAGCTGATCGACAGCTGGAACACAAACCACCAAATACAAAAACATAATTCAGATCCAGTCGTCATGACTCCACTCCGGAGGGATTCCCCGATCACTTCTTACAGTTTCTCATCAAGGGGGTGTCTCCTGTCCCCGGTACAAACACACTGCCTGAGGAAGGCTATAGTGTATTGTTTTTGTCATTAACCTTTTTCGGACCACTTATTTATTTATTTTGGTGATGATCCGACCTCCATGCTGCTACTCTGGTTCAAACTGCATCCACCAAACAATATGATTTATCTCAACCTCCCCAAAATAACCACAATCTGACACGGTGTGAGATGTCTTTTTTAGCTGTTCTGTCGTCATTTCCTTCGATCTTCTTCATAAAGTCACTCAGAATGAATGAATGAATGGGCGTTTCTTTGACTATTTATAGGCAAATATGGGCGTTACGTGAAGCCCGCAAAAGCTGCACCGCATTTCGAGTCGATTGTGATTTATAAAGGGAAACCGGCGTAGGAAGTGCTGTACGCACTTTCCTCGCCGGTGCGCAATGTTTGGTGAATCGGAAAATGTCGGAACATTTCTGTACCTATTTTTTGGATTTCTGCTACGTAAGCAACCTTCCCACGTGAATCCTACGCACGGCGTTATAAATGAGGCCCCTAAGGTCAGATTGTGCCCTCTATGATTGGCAGCTGCACACAAAGAAGCACTGCTGAGGTCCACAATGACAGTAATGATAGGATGATGCTGAGCAACACCTACCCTCTTATTAAATCCTACACATTGTCTTTGTCATGGGCTTAAGGTGACACACATCTAGTTATGCACACAGCACAAATACACACCAATGAGCACACATGTGTGGGCGAATTGCAGACTCATTACGCTTTTCCAAACATCTGTGAAATAAAACTCATTTAAGGAATGAGGGTGGAAAAGGTTAATAAGCACCCTTATTAATTTTGAATGAAATACGCTGTAATGAAATCACAGAGCTGTGCTCAATAAACTGTTGCACTTCAGAAAGAGTCCGCCATCGCCTTCTGATTCCCCCCTGCAGCTGGTGGAGGGCTTTTATTAAGTTTATTCATTCATTTATTTTAATATGTCCCTCTGTCATGTGACCTGAAAGCTGTTAGGCACTGGTTGGTGAAGTTGCTTCATTCTTGTTGAGTGAACTTGAGGGACTTATTGCCATGGTGACTCATGTTGCATGGGAAGAAAGGAAATGTTATACGTCTGTGTTTGTGCCTCTTTTTTTTCTCTTGGGATGACTGAGTTTGATTATGAAAAGTTAATTATTTTGAGTCACACATTGTTGAAAATGCCAATGAGACAGTTTAGGTTCGGTGTTGCCTAATAAATATTTACACAACATCATTAACGACTCATGTTGTCAACAGACTGAATCAGACCCAAATGTTAATGTCTTATGATTGGACATTCAACCTTGATTTGTCAATGAAGGTAACATGTGAGAAGGGCATATATTACATGATACAGACCTGTTATCACAGCACTGCTGTGGCTGTTTGTTTCTATCATAAGTGAAGTATGGCCTTATCTCAACCCAGAGACATCATGGAAATATATTCTGGGTGCGTAAAGGATTATAATCCCTTTGTATAGTCAGTCCTTATTAGTAAATGGTTAACAGAGTTGCAGACTGATAAGGGGAAATCAGTGAAAACCTTAGATGGATGAAGTTACTGCCGGTAAATGAGCAATGCACCAGACGACGGCAGGACAACCAACAGTTTACCCTTTCCTAATTTATTAACATAATGTCTCATTCAGATCACCTACTCTGCTGTTTGATCTCATCATCGTGTCGGTTCTGCTTGGTTTTTCAATAACAGATCAATTTATGAACACAGAAAAAAAAGAAGAACTCAAGTTTTAAGTTCAACCATTTGTCTGAGAAAAATAGACTTTTCAGGTTGAATTAAAAAAGTGAAAATGTATATTTAAATGAATGTTACATATCAATTGATTTCAATGAATCCTTAAATGATGTTTTACAGAGTATAGGCATATGCTGGGGGACAGGGTACTGTACTGCACAACGTGTAATATACACACTGCAGGTACAGCATGCTCAGATTTGATCATTATTCTTCTCCTTGGATACGTCACAGGTATTTGACTGTAATTGACCTTCTGTGCTTTTGTCAGATTTGTTATATACAGATTCCAAGTTAATACAGGAAGGTTATTTAGCACAGTCATACTGGGGTTTGTGTCCCTTCAGGATTATTACAGGATATTTTTTGTTTCTGTATCTCATAAGAGGCAAATTAAAGTTAATGTTCTATACTGTGGTTATTTCCTGTAGGTCGAATTAGCCGTTGTACAATCTGACAGACTGTTCAAAGGCTTATTCATTCTGTCCGCGTCTGCACGTGTGTGTTCAGTCCAAAATGTGTGACCCTGCTGATTGTACACTTGGCAAGTGTGCCAGCGGCCTGTGACTGTGTTTTGTTTAACGCTACAGTCCATTGGGTGACTAATGCACCTATAGCTATAGTTTGCCAAGAAGAAATAGAAAATAATATCAAACTGAAGGATTGGTTTGAAGGGGGGTTGTACGAGGGGTCCTGCATTACTGTGATTTCCAACATTACTAAATCATCTTTGAAGGAATACACGGACAGCCATACGGCATTAAACTCCTCGCAAACAACTAAATACAGAGTGTGTAATGGTAAATGCGTTGAACACCAGACCATCATGGACCCTCACATGCAATACAAATGGTATATAGCATACTGTACACCTCACGGCCAGTGTTGCCAACTCCATAGTAAGGAAAGTAGCTATTGGCTGTCCTAAGAGTCGCCAGAAGTCGCGAAATGACTAGAGATGGCAAATCCGGATCATTTTATGGACTCGGAGTCTTCTGAGTCAATCATTGAAGAGATCCGGATCATACGAGTCATTTGAGTCATTTGAGTCATATGAGTCAGCATGACCAAGACCGTAGAAATCCTACTGGTGAAACCGAAAAGTTGTTGCATTTAACCAGCATATTAAACTAACGTTACATTAACCTCCGCTACACAGTGTCTTTTGCTTTAATAAAACATGTGTGTGTGTGTGCATTTTTAAAAATAAGTGTTTTGCATTATATGTATATAGTTATTTTAATATGTTCCTGTACTTAAGCTAATTTTGCACAATTGTGTTTTCATTTAATAATAATAATAATAATAATAATAATAATAATAATAATAATTGTATAATTACATTTTATATATTCTAACTGTTTTGCAATTTTCTATCATTTGTTTCTTTTTGTGTGCCATGTTCAAAATAAACGAGTTTCCAAGTAAGATCCTTATTGGAAATGCAGATATTATTACAGGAGACTGTTGCACAACATGACCATTTTGTTAGAAGTCTACACTGAAACTTAATTTAGAGCCGGAAAAATCACGGGATCCGTGAATCCAGGTCAATGATCGAGAGAGACCAGTAGCCTACGAGGACTCAGAGCCGTAACATATAGCAGGCAGCAGATCCAGAGATCCAGCAGACTCGTCCCCATGCACGAATCTACAGCAGACTCAGCCCCTCCTCCGAGTCCCACGGCTCCCGCGAGTCCCACGGCTCCCGCGACGAGTCGCAGCAGACTCAGAGATTTGCGGACTCACGGCTCACTCACGGCTCACTCACGGCTCACGGCTCACTCACGGCTCACGGCTCACTCACGGCTCACGGGACTCTCGCGGGAGCCGGAGGAGGGGCTGAGTCTGCTGTAGATTCGTGCATGGCGACCACCATAGACTGTATATAAAGATGGCGACGAGTCTGCTCTGGATCTGCTGCTATATGTTACGGCTCTGAGTCCGCACGAGACACAAATATGTCATGATGGGGTCAAATAACTATGAAAAATAAGAAATTAATTAAAATGAACTGTTCATTTTATTAATTAATTAAAATGAACTGTTCATTTTAATTAATTTCTTATTTTTAGAAATTAACTTTGAAAAATAAGAAATTAATTAAAATGAACATATATACTATGTTCATTTTAATTAATTTCTTATTTTTCAAAGTTATTTTATCATGGGTGGAGATACTTAGTGAAGTTGTTGCAGTGGTGATTTGTTGAAGAGTGTACCTTATTGGGTCAAGGGGTCAAGACCTTTCTGATTGGAAGGTTAGGGGTAGTCCCCCTCCCCCTACTTGTCACCAACCATCCCCCACTATCAAGATTCTCCCAAAACACCTCAGACAGAAGTGACAAGAGAAGAGAGAGTGACATTGACTGAGGATTATTTGCTAAAGATAAGAGGATTTTTTTGTTGGAGATGAGTACTCGGAAAATAAGTGATATATGGATGCATTTTGTTGGAGTAAATCAGGCACAAGCAAGATGTCAGTATTGCAAAAACCTGATATCTGTTCATGGAGGGAGCACATCAAATATGAGGAGGCACTTAAAAACTAAGCACCCCACTGCACTTTTAGCAGACACTCAGCAGACAACAACAGGGACAGCAGAAGCAGCAGCGACAACATCTGCAACGGCATCAACCAGCACAGATTCAGGTGTGGCAAGTACATCAACTCAACTTGCAACAGCCACCACCACAGCACCACAAGCAGCCAGAAAAAGGCCAAAACAAACCACTATGGGAGGCTTTATAAACAGGCCCATTCAACCACTGCAGCAGAGTAAAGTGGACCAGGCTTTGGTTAAAATGATAGCCACTGATTTTCAACCGTTCACAATTGTTGAAGACAGGGGGTTCAGAGCATACACAGCGGCACTGGACCCATCATATGTGCTGCCAAGCAGAGGCACTATATCAAAGCGGATGCTGCCCAACCTTTTCGAAAAGGTCAGAGCTGAACTCCAAGAGCAGATTAGGACTGCTCCTGCTGTATGTTTGACAACAGACTGCTGGACCTCCAACACAACAACAAGCTACATGTCAGTGACATGCCACTACATCACTGACTTTAAACTCAGATCCAATTTACTGGACTGTTTTGTTGTCGCAGAGTCGCACACATCCCAAAATCTGGCGCAAGAGTTGAGCCGGGTTGCAAAAGAGTGGGGCATTCAAGATAAAATTGCAGCCTGTGTCACTGACAATGCAAGCAACATTGTCAAGGCCGTGAATGACATTTTGAAGTGGAACCATGTGAGATGCTTTGCTCACTTGCTGAATCTGACGGTCAGATCTTCAGTTCACCAAACTGAAATCCAGGCCTTAATTCTGAAGGTCAAATCTATCGCAGAGTATGTGCGCAGAAGCACAGTGGCCTCTGCAAAGCTTCGGGAAATGCAACTACAAATGGGGCAGGTCCAGTTGCGAATGAAGCAGGATGTAGCCACACGGTGGAATTCAACCTACTTCATGATGCAGCGTGCCATCGAAATCAAGGAACCTCTTGTCTCCACAATGGCACTGCTCAATCCACTGCTACCAGCCTTAACTCCCGAGGAATGGGATATCACAAAGGAGGTGTGTGATATTCTTAAGCCCTTTGAAGAGGTGATTGTGGAGATGAGCTCAGAGAGGTATGTAAAAATAACGCAATTTTATGAATTACATTTTTCATACATTATATGCTGTGTTGATGGTCATTAGTATAAGGCCTGATGGTCATTAGTAAAGAAGGCTGCAACTGCAAGAAACACAATTTCAATGACTATTTATTTTTTCACAGGTTTGTGACAGGCTCAAAAGCCATTCTGATGGCACGGGGGCTCCAGAGAATTGTTGCCCACAGGCAGAGAAACCCCTCCACCCACGAACCTGTCAAAGGGATGGTTAATTTCCTTGCAGCAGATTTGGAGAAAAGATTTGGGCAAATTGAAAGGGTCAGAGTGCTTGCTGAAGCTACACTTTTGGACCCTCGCTTCAAAAAGCATGCCTTTGTGATTGAAAGGAACGCAGAGGAAACTGTGTCAAGAGTGGTGGGAGCAGCAACACATGCGGCAACACCAACATTACCCAGCACAGAGGAGGAGGAGGAGGAGGAGGAGGAGGAGGAGGAGGAGGAGGGTGGCACAACTGTGAATCCTCCAAGTGAGCCAGTGCCTCAATTCTGGGCTGACTTTGAGGAGCGAGTGACCACTCTGAGGCCAGGGGTCCAGAACCCGACCACTGGGGCCATGCTGGAGATCAAGGGATTCTTGGCAGAGCCACTTATCCCCCGAAAGGCTGACCCCCTGGAATGGTGGAGAGTTCGAGCCCAGGTGTACCAAAATATATGCACAGTCATGAAGACCAGGCTCTGCATTGTGGCCACATCTGTCCCCTCAGAGCGTGTTTTCTCGAAAACTGGGCAGATCATTAGACAGGAGGAACAGGCTCAGCCCTTCAAAAGTGTGTGAGCTTGTCTTTCTTAATGCCAACTTGTGAGTGACACACTTAAATAATGCACTTGCACAATGCACATTATGTATATAGTTATTTGATTATGTTCCTGTACTAAGCACATTTTGCACAATTGTGTTAATTTAAAAATAAAAATAAAAAATCTTAGCCTATATGCCAACTGATTTGCACATTGTTCTCTCATTTGTTGTTGGCAAAAGATATGCTTGATTTTTTTGTGTGTGCATTTAAAAAAATAAGTGTTTTGCATTGTATGTATATAGTTATTTTAATATGTTCCTGTACTTAAGATAATTTTGCACAATTGTGTTTTCATTTAATAATAATAATTGTATAATTACATTTTATATATTCTAACTGTTTTGAAATGTTCTATAATTTGTTTCTTTTTGTGTGCCATGTTCAAAATAAACGAGTTTCCAAGTAAGATCCGATTCCTTATTGGAAATGCAGCTATTATTACAGGAGAGTCTCCTGTAATAATAGCTGCATTTCCTGAGGAGACTGTTGCACAACATGACCATTTTGTTAGAAGTCTACACTGAAACTTAATTTAGAGCCGGAAAAATCGCGGGATCCGTGAATCCAGGTCAATGATCGAGAGAGACCAGTAGCCTACGAGGACTCAGAGCCATAACATATAGCAGGCAGCAGATCCAGAGATCCAGCAGACTCGTCCCCATGCACGAATCTACAGCAGACTCAGCCCCTCCTCCGGCTCGCACGGCTCCCGCGAGTCCCACGGCTCCCGCGAGTCCCACGGCTCCCTCGACGAGTCGCAGCAGACTCAGAGTTTTGCGGACTCACGGCTCACTCACGGCTCACGGCTCACTCACGGCTCACGGCTCACTCACGGCTCCCGCGAGTCCAACGACTCACGGCTCACTCACGGCTCACGGGACTCTCGCGGGAGCCGGAGGAGGGGCTGAATTTGCTGTTGATTCGTGCATGGCGACGAGTCTGCTGGATCTCTGGATACAACAACGTTGTAATGTGATTGTACACGTTATAAAGAGAGTAAAGAGTGACGCAATTTATAGTTTTAATTGTTACGTCACATCAGGTGTAGGACTCAAAGGACTCGGGTTAATCGAGAGGGAGACTCGTCACGACCGGCTCATTACTAGGATCCGGGTTAATGATCCGGATGAATCATGACTCGCCCATCTCTAGAAATGACGTCATCGCCTAATTTGCATATCATGTAATGGCGGCTGTAGGCAAAAAACGTTCCCAACCCTTCAAGGATCAAAACTTGAAACCACCGGAGTTAAATCCAGACGACAGTAGATCAGAAATGTCTTTGCCTTTTGAGTATGTTTTGGGGTTTTAACATGACAGTTTGGCATATAAATCCCCCTTACAATAAAGGCAGTATGCCCGTGTGTCATCTCCAATAAATGGCTTCAACCATCCTTTATACTCAGGGTTTGATTCCCACTCCTTTCTGTATTTTTGAGAATACAATTTAGACTGTGCCATGATGTTTAGCTTGTCACAGAGAGGCACACACACAGTGGACGAGATGATTGAGTGACTGAGGCTGTGTGAGGCAAAGCAAAGGCAGTTATTTATTATAGTGTGAAAGTGAGTGAAGAAACATTTACATTCAACATTTAAATCCCGCTCAAAACCAGGACGGCTTGGCAGTTGGCGCATGCGCAATTCATTTGCAGTCTCAACGCGGGGGAGTGTGGTTGTCTCCTCTCTGCTCTGACTGCAGCAGCAGCTCTGCTGCGGCCAGGCAACTGTCAGTCTGAGCGCCTGTGAGTACTATGGGAGGGAGGCGGGGCTCACGGCAGCACCCGCGGCTCGTTAACTGCAGAACAATGTGAGTCTCCAAACACCAGAAAAGTCGCTAATAACACCATTATAAATCGCTAGATTAGTCTTTAGTCGCTTTTGACACAAATAAGTCGCCGGAGGGTTTGGAAATCCGCCAAATTTAACGAGAAAATCGCCAAGTTGGCAACACTGCTGGCTTGGCGATTTTTTGCGAGCAACGCGACCAACAACCAATCACATGAATCTCCCGCCCCCGACATACAAAGCAATAGCAATGTTAAAACGAAGTAAACTGGATATAAAATCCCCAAACAGGCGAAAACCTACCAGTTTCACCCACTGTCTCTGCCACCTCCCTCCATGCCTCGCTCCTCCGGTTTGTATCCCGGTAGATCAACAGAGACTGATCATACAGCACCGGGTGATTCACTACCGCTATAATGAATTTTCCCTCCATTTTTTTGAATATGAGGAAATGACCTGCGTAGTCTCTCCCAGCATACACGCGGTTTGATTGGCTAGCTTGTACTGGCAGATTTGCATAAACGGGATTTCATTGGCTGACGCCAGCTTCGAGCAACGGCCCGTCTACACTACAGGCGTCAAAAAATGCTTTCAACGCTTCGCCCATTCATTTGAATGGGGTGACGTAGGATATTTTCAAACTTCGCCGAACTGCATTGTGGGTAGCATGGCAAGGCGTTGCAAGCATCGCGAGCGTCTATCGGCGTCAAAAGTTGAACAATGTTCAACTTTTGAGGCTCGATGCTTGCTCGAAGCTGGCGTCAGCCAATGAAATCCCGTTTATTCAAATCTGCCAGTACAAGCTAGCCAATCAAACCGCGTGTATGCTGGGAGAGACCACGCAGGTCATTTCCTCATATTCAAAAAAATGGAGGGAAAATTCATTATAGCGGTAGTGAATCACCCGGTGCTGTATGATCAGTCTCTGTTCATCTACCGGGATACAAACCGGAGGAGCGAGGCATGGAGGGAGGTGGCAGAGACAGTGGATGAAACTGGTAGGTTTTCGCCTGTTTGGGGATTTTATATCCAGTTTACTTCGTTTTAACTTTGCTATTGCTTTGTATGTCGGGGGCGGGAGATTCATGTGATTGGTTGTTGGTCGCGTTGCTCGCAAAAAATCGCCAAGCCTCAGACACGCCCAGCTTCAAGCTTTTTCGACGCCTGTAGTGTAGACGGGCCGCAAGCATCGAGCAAGCATCGAGCCTCAAAAGTTGAACATTGTTCAACTTTTGAACATTGTTCAACTTTTGACGCCGATAGACCATAGACTGTATATATAAAGCGATAGACGCTCGCGATGCTTGCAACGCCTTGCCATGCTACCCACAATGCAGTTCGGCGAAGTTTGAAAATATCCTACGTCACCCCATTCAAATGAATGGGCGAAGCGTTGAAAGCATTTTTTGACGCCTGTAGTGTAGACGGGCCGTGTGTTCCCTTTCTTGTTTGGCTTGTACAAAAGACACTGAGCAGCATATTTGGACCCTGTGTCATAACACGGATGGTCAGAATTACAACTTGGGAAATCCACCTAATAAAATATTTGGGGTGTGGTATTTTTATATTTGGGAACATAGTTCAAGCCCCAATATGAAACCTCTTCTCAGTTTATTGAGCTGTCTTTAACGGTAATTTAAATGTATGGTTTGATTTCGTTTCACAGGGGTAGTTTGAGCAGGTACCATTGGTTCGCATCTCCCCCTATAAAAGAAGGGTTAGGGTTTAGCCAATGACTCCTATGCTTCTTTTGCATTGGCTGGTTGATTTTTTATAATCAAAATAACAGAAGGATATTTGTCCTTGGGAAATGGAGTAAATTGTAAAAGAGCCCTATCAACAACACACCTATATCTCTAGCTGAGAGGACATTTTAATGTTCACAGCCTACGGCATCATCTAACCACCAAGACCTGTTGGAACAAATGCCACAGAAGATGGAGTGACCACCTGGGGAGGAGACGGTCACGGACGAGCCATGAGGTGAGCTCACCCACCAAGGACCTAAAGCTATTCCACTACCCAGCTTGCTTCTGGCTGATGAAGATTGTAGGAAAATAAAATAGATAAAATAAGACTCAGACAAACCCACCAACATCAGTGAGAGTTGTGCTCATATATTTACAGAGACTTACTCCAGCATTGTGGCATCCCTGATCAAGCTGTTGCATTTGTCAGGCGACCGCAGGACATAGAGATATGAGGAGGCAGACTGTGTTTACATCAATGATATATAGGGTTAGGGTTTTATATATTTATGGATTCTTGTATTTTCTTGAAAATGTGCACCTAATATTTGCTTATAGAGGTGAATGTTCTTATCTGTGTGAGTAAGATAGCAGCAATTAAAGATGCTATCAATATAAGTTGACAAATTCACTAGTGTTTGTGTTGTTGCTTTTTACATTTATGCTGATGCAAATAGAAAAATTGCATAACAGGAATGCTGTTTATGTTTCGTCCATTTTGTTTCTGTGTAGCATAAATGTGCTAGTCTACAATAGCATTTCACTCTCCAGTTCAATTGATTGCATTTCCAATCAACACTGCATCAAGAACACCAACAATGATCAATGGTTTTGTTTATGAAATGAAAATGGAATGTAATGTTATATTTAATCTAACTGACTATATCTGCCAGTTTTTGTCTGCAGCAATATGTTTTGAAGGATTAGAAATGCCTGCTGACCATGATTAATTGCAGGGCAAATGAGCGATTGTCTTATATTGAATGCAGTGTCCTCTGCTACCCCGTAATGCAGCGTGGCAATAGATACCATGTTTAAATGTATTGTAGATGCTTGTGCTATACGTCAAACCTCATAGATGACTATATGGCTTACCATTTTATATAACTGCTGCCCTGCAACCCTGTATGTGACTCTTGGTCTCATAAGTTCAGTTCAAGAGAATAATACCCCTTTTATTATCTCAGCGCTGAAACTTGCACATTGCACTGCTGCCCTACATCACTGTGTATGGTCTCATAAGTTCAGTTCCAAAGGATAATTTCCCATCTTATTATTAAAACATGCACATTGCCTGGTTTATTATAATTACAGGTGTAAATTAAATATATTTGTGTGTTTTCTTAAAGAGTAGAGGCAGAGCATAATGGATTCGTGAGAACCCTTGTTGACTACATTAATTCCCACACTTTCTACCTCAGCTAAAATGTCTTTTTTTA